AGGATTTAAAATCAGGAACTGAGAATCATAATGCAATACATGATAGTGAAATACTGAATCACACTAAGTTACATGATACCGGAATACTGGATCACACTAAGTTACATAATACTGGAATACTGAATCACACTAAGTTACATAATACTGGAATACTAAATCGGACTAGACTGAGACATGTATTCTTGAACTGATGATGAACACTGAAACTTCAATTGTTTATGGCATAATGAGTAATATATTCTAAGACTCAGGGGCATCAATCCCAAGTCTATATTGATTACACACTGATTTCACAACATTCAGAATGAAAGTCATGAACGAGTTACGAAGCTAGAGAATAGAAGTTCTGCAACTATTCAAGGAACTAGGATTAACTATATTTCTGTGGCAATTAGTAACGTGGTAAAAGAAACATAGTGTAGGGAGAATCATTAAAATTTCCAAACATAGAGAGTTAGCCTCACATACGTTAACTTCCTGTTCTTGAGCGTAATACAACGTTTGTCAACCCTTTCAACATTAATCTATAGCAATACAAGTCAAAGGGATTCCATATTAGCTATTATACTTATGTTTTGGTCGCTTAAGCATTTTATCAAACACTTGGTGAGAATAAAGCTTTATAGTCCTTATTAATGGTGTCTCCACACTCAATAACTCATTCTCTTGCTCCTAAATAAATTCTAAAGTCTCAAATGGTTATAATCAACATTATTTTTTATCACCCATAAGATAAACAACACCCTTAACCAATAATCAACAATGAACACCCTAAACCTATAATTATGCCTTTCTATCAAACCCATCAACTCATATCTTATGAACTAGAGTCTATAATCATTAATCTAATGCTAGAATCAATTAGAGGGTGAAGACATTACCCTTTTGAAGTTCAATCCCCTTGAATTCAAGCTCTAGGGTTCCTTCTCTAAACAATGATGTCCCAAAGTATCTAATGATATGGAGGATTTACCCATGCTAATAAGATGTTGCGAGATTGAAATTAACTTAAAATTACCATTAGAACTTATCTTGGATGGTGGAGGAACCCTTAAGGAGTTAGGTTTTTGAGAGTTCCCCTTTCTAGAGCAAGTTTTTGTGTTTTGGGGGTGTGGGGACAAAGTAGGGCTTTAAAATGACCCTCCAAGTGGGTCCCCCCTTACCTGTAGGCCTGAACACACACCTGACCGTGCAAAATGGCAGTAACACTGCCATAGGTGCTCGGCCGCGCTCGGGGCATGCACTGGGCGCGCATATTGCGCACTATTCTGTAAAATACACATAACGTTTTGCACAGAGAACCGTTTGGACTTCACAATGTATTGTTGGAAAGATATTTCAAAGTCCTAAAACTTTTATGTTTTGAATTTTCCCAAATACTGTATACATTTTCACTAAATCTTGTTGAAAGTCAGATCTTTCGTAAACTTGGTCGATTTTGTCGAATCGTATGCACCTCACTCTCCATCTTAATTCTAAAACAATTATTTTCACCCATACTCATCCCGCTAGGACTTCATATGTCTAAAATATTAAATTAGTACTCATTTAACATATTTACACTTAGTTTGAATGTACGGGGTGTTACATTCACTTTTAGCTCCCCTTGCTCCATCTACTGATCTTCAGGTCGCTAACATTCTCTCTTGACTAGGGACGGTAGCCATACTAAGGTAAATACTTATCCCTTCTAAGTTTCCGGTGCCTATCTTATAAAATTTCTTAACATTCTAGTATTCATATCTCACTGTACTACTCAGAGTGCACCGCTTGGGTGTCTCTCAAGGGGAACTATTATCGCGTTTACAATATCCTTTAGAAATGTCATCTAAACCTAATAATCCATCCACCATTTTTGGTTACTCTAACCCCAACTGTATCCTAATATCCGATCCTTCTTTTAAACTGTTACACCTTGCAATATTACGTTGATATTACGTCCTACAGTATTATATTACGATGATGTTACATTTTGCAGTATTAAAATACGATGATGTTGCACTGTGTAGTATTGTACGTTGAATTTGTCGTAAGGTAATTGACATCAGTCCAAGGAAAAGATAATTATAAGGATTATGCTATTTCAAATAAGTGATGAGTAAATTCGTAAAGGTGAGAGGGAAAGCAAGTCAAAGAAAATGAATTTTCGTCCAAGTTTGGCATATTGGGATAAAATACGGCCCGAGTTAAAATTCTCGATATTTATGGACTAGTGCCATACAAGGTACCATATGACCACGGTAGTATGATATATAAAGTATATTAAAAATAAGTAGAATTTTAAGTAATTTAAGACAATTTTTAATTATGCGGGTAATTGGTTAATTACCGGGTAACGGGACATTACCTAGTCACCTCATAAGTGATAAAGATCATAAAGAACCCCACCCCACTCCACGTGGCAGCAAGCCACTAGCAATTAAGTGACTCATGGTCACATTAGAATAGGTGACATCTTGATAATTTAATTTGAAGACACCTTAAATACCTTAAAGACTTCCAAACCAAATCATGTCATAATTCTTGCAAAAACTCTTACTAAGGCACTAATAGAGAAGGAACATGTTAGCAATCTTAAAAGCTCTTTCAAATTTCCATTCTCAAAGACACCTAAAATCAGATTTTATACTCAAGCAACATGATTTTTTTTACAAGTTTCAACAATTTCAACTAGCACTTTTAGAGTATTAGCAACGGAGAAATTTTGCGGTTCTAAATAAGTACGGTGCAACTTTTTCAAGAATATCATATGGATTTTTCCCTACTCCAGGTGTGTTAAGGCTAAGCTCTTCCTTCATTTTGCATGATCTCGTAAGTACAAAAGTTTGATAACGACTCATAAAGAAAAATTCATATCCCGGAATTTACGTATATTTTGCTAGTCTTTCAAGTTATGTATATTTGCGTGGTTTTGTAAGTTATGATATTCCCCTTATCGGGACTCCATATTCAATTGAGTATTTTCTTCTTCTAGTTAAGAGAACAGAGAANATATATATATATATATACCGAGCTTTATGGGGCCGGACAACTATTTTACTTACTATATTGAGAGAATTGAGTCAGTATCAGTAGGTAAGCTTATCTTCAGATTATCTTTGACTTCCAGCTACTTGCAGTTACTATATTATCAGTTTAGTTTCAGCTTTGAGTATATTGTCTTACATACTCGGTACATTATTTCGTACTGACGTCCCTTTTCCAGGGGCGCTGCATTTCATGCGTGCAGGTTCAGACAAAAAGACGGGTAGACCTCCTCATGAAGTGTTGCTCGAGTTCAGCTTGATCAGTAAGCTCCATGCCTTTCGGAGTTGCCGGGTCTAGAACCTTATGTACATCTTGTATATATATATGTATACATGTTACGAGTAGGTAGGGAAGCTATTCCGATCACAGTATATCCATCAGTAGAGGCTTGTAGACATATCATGTCAGTTAGTGCAATATGTTAGGCTTGCATGCCCTGTATGTATATCTGGTTGGTTTGTCAGCTGCAATAATTACGACGGCCTTGTCGGCCCAGCTTTATATTGATATTTAGTCAGCATTTGTAGTTGTCTTGCAATGTGGCCCATGGCCCATGTATGACATCACATGTTCAAAGTTCCTTAGTCGCAAGTTGGTACGCGAGGACAGGTGAGGCACCGGGTGCCGGTCTCGCCCCCAGGTTCAGGGCGTGACATAAACTATATCTGTTAGCTCCCATAGGGCATAACTAAGATAGGTGTTACCAATTTTACATACCTTTGTTACTGTTGAAAGTAACTTAGAATGCTTATATTTCTTAGTCTGAATCGTAAATACTGATAATCTCCACTAACTAGGTACCTAGTACCCTCCTTCACCTTCCTTCTGTTAATTGTTGAAAGTTGTATCTACCTTCTGATTCTCATATTTCTTTTTACCATATATGTGGGTAGATATTCATGCCTTAGGGTTCCTTATCAAGAAGCTTACACGTCTTAGTACACCCATGATCTGTTGAAGACCTCAGATTTACTCATAATAAATATGATGCAAAATCGAGTTCGTCTGACTCAACTCTTCCACAACCATATTTAATCTCGTACCAACTGTCTCTCTCTATGTAGGTGTCGTTGTATTACGAATAAAATAAAAATTAGGAGTTTGAATTCTTACAACTGAGCTCTACCACGTGATCTAGAGTAAGAAGAAAGAGTGACGGTCATAAATGCCCTGTAGCCTCCTACTTATAAGTGTGGCGCACAACACACCGAAACAAGACTCTACTAGATACGGCGTGTATACTCCCTAGGACAGCACTGCTCTGATTCCAAGCTTGTCACGCCCCAAACCTAAATGTCACGACCCAATTCCAATCTAGGTCGCGATAGCGCCCAACACCGAGGTTAGGCAAGCCAAACTCAACCAACTAATGGGTTCCATTTATATCACCCAAAACATTTCCAACATTTACATAGATAAAATATAAAACATTCAGTGATAATAAATAGTTTAGGCAAATTCAAAGCTGAAGTGACCAAATGATGTCATAATTAAGTGATTACATCCTAAAAGAATAGTCTATTAATGTGTATGCCAAAACCTGGTGTCACAAATATATGGGCATCTAGTAGAATATATCAAAGTACAGAAACAATATGTATCCAGAAATTACCTAGTCTAACCTCAAAGAAGTAGTGACGAGGAGTCGACTTGACACTTACTAGGGTCAATAATATGATAATATGAGGTTCAATATTTCAATTCACAATGTACATATATAGAAACTAGTTCAAATAAGAAATAATACTAAAACCTTTCTCATCAATTAATAAGTCTAGGCATTTACTTCTTTTAAAACAAGTAGTCTTTCAAACAATAAATCATACGATTTCCGCCAAAGATGTTTGGCCCGATCCAATATAAAAGTAAACTATGTACTGCCGAGGGTCGAACGGCCTAAACCATATATATATATATATATATATATATATATATATATATACCCGGGCTTGCCCGGGCCCAATACTTTGGATTAGAGTGTGAGCAATTGAGAAAGTCAGATCATATCTATCAAAGACAATGTATAATAGCGTCACAAATTCATCAAACTCAACCATGTACTTCTTATAGCTAAAGAGTGCCATTGGGAAAGAGTTCATTTATAAGCAAGTGACTTGTATAAATAGACTACACATTGCAAAGTTCAGCGATGTACAGTTCTAGCCTCAATCAATCCACTAAAGATACATTCTTGATAGCAATTACTGAATCTTTGCATAGAACAGCATGTTTGTAACATTAATGTCAAACAGACAAGATATACAACAACACTACATTCAGTTTCTACATTTCAATAAACAGACTGGTATGTACAACATTTAGAGGCCGCTTCAATATCCAAAAATAATACCAATTGCCTTCAAAAACATAGGCACATACTACTGACAACTATTTACGCAAAAAATGTGGAACAGTTTGTTAAAGTGGCCAAATATCTAAACTTTGTTGAAAGATCGGTATGATCTGCCAAAATGTTATCAAAATGTGTCTATACATCGCAGACCGTCTGAGCGAACATCACTGCTTCGACAATCTGTACAAATAAAATATTCATTTTAAGAACATTAGTAGATGGTAAAATATGGTGTTTGAGTTTCTAACCTTGACTGTGGCTTTGGTAGAGTACTTGGTTCCCTTTTCTGTTTCTTAGTTGCTCTTGCATCAGTTACAAGTATTGGCTCTTCTTCCATAATTCTGCCGGCACCACTCATAGATGTTGACTCTTCTAGTAGAAACATGGTTGGTTTTTCAGTGTATGACAAAAGAACCAAAGAACATGCATTTTTGTCCGGTGTTCTGGATGATGACCTTTGTAGCTGAACTCTGAATAGTGTATCAGCAAGTAGTTGATTGATATGGGCAACAAGGAATAACTCATTCTACAAAAAGATATTAAAAATAATAGATTTCATATCAGAGTAGTTTGTTGACCTATGTTAACTGCGATGTTGTATGTGTATGTACCTTAACACCGGTGATATCATATATCTGTTCAGCTATTATTGATAATATTCTTTCGCCCAAGCCTTCAGACATTGTTGCTGTTATTGTGCCAGTTTCGCCTGTAATTTCTACCTCAAAGTGCCACCTATGATGTGGTACGTTGTAAATTATTTTAGTTGAGGTACAATAGATGGCATACAATGTCAAATATTGTCAATGGTATAATCTTATTAGTAGTAGTTATTACATTGGAATTAACATTCGTGGCAGCCTGCAGTTTATGCATTGAATCTCCCTTTTTATTTTGTTCCGAACAAGATGGTTACATTCAGAGCAACCTAGCAGGTAAAATCGTTGGAAATGCTCAGGTAGCGAAATTTCTCCTTCGACGTAAAAACTTCCACCTGCAAAGTGTTAATATGGAGAAATAATAGAAGGAAAACTTAGTGGGTAAGAGACAAAATGACTTGATTTTTTGTTCTTTTTATCCAGGTAAAAGCACGTGAAACAATGTGCATGTTGAAATAAACTGTGCACCCGTAGTTGTAAGTAGCGCGAGTTAAGTGACAAATAATGATACATATTTACGTATAGTTTATCCTACATAATCAAATTATAGATGAGAAAGCAATTTCATCTTTGTATAACTATAAATAACACCTATTGTACATTAAACAAAAAGAACAATATTAGATCAATAAATACTGCAAATAACATGAAAGGGAAAAAAGTTTGTTCCACTTCTGAACAAATCTGCTCAGAGTCTATTTTAACTTTGAGGAGGCTATCATTTCTACCTAAGACTCATCTTAACTTTAGCTATGTAATTAAGAGAAGCTTTAGATAATACTTCCAATAATCTATGATGTCGGAAATAGCAGCCAAATCGGTAATAGTATTTTACCTAAAATTTTCTGGAAGTATGGGGTTAAGCAAGAATCGACTTGACACAAAGAATTTTCACCTCAATCAGGATAGAAAATACAGAAATGAAAACATATAACGAAAACGGCCAGAGTGGATACAGTATTAGTCAAAAATGATTGAGAAGCCACTACTATATGAATATCCTTTTTGTCACATATAATTGTGCTCATTCATAGGCAATTGTAGGACAATTTTCAGATGTTCTTTAATTTTTTTCTACAGTAAAAAGTAAGGGAAAACATAAAGGTAAATACTAATATGAATACTCAGTTAACCATCTGCTCCAACCTAAAATTCATTTGGTAAAGGATTTCCTATTCTTTAATCCAACCCCTATATATACTTCTCATTTGCATCTTCTTTTCTTCACATACAAGTTTAATGTACTGGTTATAAGTACACTTCTTACATAAAAAACAAACCAACAAAGCAATACTTTTAGTTTCTTGTCTTTTTTAACTCCATTTGTTTTCCAAGTTAGAAGCAATAAAATACCAAAGATGATGATGTCTATATTTAGTTCCTTTGATGCTTTCTCTGCTGAAGTTTTTGGACAGAAGGTCACAGAGCTTATGTAGCAAGGCCACTGAAGATAAAATTGTATATAATTTCACAAATATTTGCAACCAAACACTTATCCAATTTGAACAATTTTTAGTCAGCAGAAATTCTGAAAATTAGGAAAAGAAGAAAGCAAAACCTATCTTATAACTATAAGCGAAGCATAAAGAGCAAAGACATATAATTTCAAGGAATTTTTAGTCAGGTAAATTAACTGTGAATAAGAGCTCTGTAAGTTTAACCTAATAAGCTATAGCATGTTTTTCACTGTACTATCTAATACCATATTTCTTCTAAACCTTTGTCAAGGGAAAAAAACTCTCAAACTATTTGAAAAAGAATTCACAAAATTAGTCTTTTGAGTTGGGAGGGGTAGATAACATGTTATTTCAATATTCTAAAAACTTAAAAACTTTTGAATAAAGTAAAGAATTTCAAAAACAAAAAATATTGAAACACTTTTAGAAACAAACACCATCGAATTCTCTCAAAAATAATTTTTATATATGAATCCTCATATTAAAATTTATTGAACTGTTATCCATATTGTATAAAAGATACATTCTGTGGCAGTTTTTGGCATTTATTTTGTAATTTAGTGAACCCACAGTGGAGGTTTGCGTAGCAATAGCTGAAACAAATAATATTTCATCGTCAACAGCTACAAGATTAAGCGATGAAGCTGACTCTGCTGAACTCTTCACTGTGTATTCGATTAGCATTTGTTTGTTCTCATTTATCCTGTAATTCGCACAGAAAATGTCAGACAATTATTTTTCCACGGAAGAAATAACAGTTAAATAATAATGTGGTACATTTTATTTTAAGCACAGTTTGTACTGTACCAATTCCGTAATTCAGTTTCTTGCACATATAAGGGATTGATTAAGATTATTGAGTTGTATCTTGTTGCGAAACAGGTAACTGTGTATGCAAATTTTATTAATAACCAACGCAGAACCATAATCCATATGTAGGAACAGGAGCTGTGTGAACTTACTACCCTGATATTTTGTGGTACCTATCCGTTTCTCGAGAATAATAAGATATTCTTGTAGTTGCCTCACTTGTCTCAGAACCTCAGCTCCTTCATTGCTTGCTAAGTCTTCCCATATAGTGAAGAAGAGAGGTTTCTTCCTGTACATGTTACTAATATAAGTGTCAGGTAGAGATTTTGTTATGTAACAGAAGATTAAATGACTCACATTTTTTTCATAACTATGGCCTCTTGAAATCTCTTACTCTGATCAGCGGTGTGTTGCATTGCCCCACAGTTTGCCACCACAGCTAATAGATCTGTTTGTTATAAACAAAAAACAAATGTACGTAAAACCAATATACTTGCATTCAGCATGAGTTTTAAGCAATTAAGTTGTTATAAGGCATAGGGTAATTTGAAACATACCAAACTCAACACCGGAAGGCTGTTGTGCAACGTCAGCAAATGAAATCGTACTCAGTATTGACGGAGGAGGTAACAGTGCCTCCTTTTTATTATTTTTTGGGATAGACTCCACAATACTAAATCTGTCAACAATCCACTCAAATTGTCCTATATGTAGTGAATAAGGTTGCGGATTTCTAACCTTGGCAGTTGAAATTAGATATGTCTCAAAAAGTTCGAACAAGTTATCACATCTTCTAATATCGTCACCATAAAGTATCACACAAACTTGTTCCTCCTACAATGTTATTAAGAATGATAACTAAGTAATTATTGGAAGAGTACAAGTGAAAAGAACTTATGTTACAATTATAGTTGTAACTTGACTTACGTTTACATCCAGCACAATTATTGTCTGAAAATGAACTCGCTGATCTTTACTGTCTCGCGACAGAAATTTGTCTACAGTCTGGACTTTGCAAGTCCATTCTGTAGTTAGTGGCGTAATTTCACTAATACTAAGTCTTTATTCCATTTTATTAATATAACCTGCATATTGGTAACTGTAAAATTGCAAGAACAAACCATCCCATATTATAAATATGAGGCAGCAAATATACGTAAAATACACTTGAATTTTTTTTGCAACAATTAGGAATTTCTAGTAAAAGTTGGATTTGGATTTTTTTAATCACTATATTTCTGAGTGTTGGAACTCCCTGCGTCAAGAAAGAATTGAAAACTTTGTTAAAGATATTTAAGAACTTTTGGTAATACGGAGAAAGGCAAATGTTAATACGATTGGCATGATAAGTGAAATTCATAGGCCAAAATCCTTTGAAGTTAGGCAAATATACAACCTTAAATCACGGTTCCTTTCACTCTACTTTCAGATTTAATTCAAACACACATGAAAAAAAGAATGTCCATCATGTTCTTCACTATCGATTTGTTTATTTTATTTATTTTTGTCAAAATGGGATTTAAGAACGAACTCAAAGAACTGATTCGATTATTTTATTGAAGTTAATTCTGCCGGTAGTTAAGCATATCATCCAGAGTCCTTAAAGTAATGCAAAGTTTTTTAGAATGATTCTGAGATAAAATGTCTCGAATTATATCCCTTCTTGAATAGAAGAAACGAAAGTCTTGTATTCGAATATTTTCTCTGTCAACATTACAGTTCCTCCCATGAAATCTGACTTCTATTCCTTTAGGAAAAAGTAAAACTAAAATGGCTTGAAGTGAAGAAGTTTCAAATTTTTCATGAAGTTCCTTTCCGCTGGACTATTATGTATAGTTGCTTGAAAGGTTTATTCAAACTTATGTATTCCTGCAGCTTATAAAGAGAAACGGCATAGGCTATGCTTTTATTGGGTTTAGAAAAGCTATGTGGAAGTTTCCTTCTAGTGACTTCATACTAACTCTTCTTTCTCAAAATTGACTAAATATATCATTGATTGTGTGATTTCCTTTATCAGAAGCAGTCATTTTCTATTTTTCTTCTTTTGCATACATGCGTCTGTCCGCGTCTTTATGTGTTTCTATTGTAATTGGTTCCATAATTGAAGCCTGTATATTATAGAATTAGATACAATCTCAAGTAGCCATTTCAGCATTGTCATAAGGGTATTAGCACAGAATTTAAGTGTAGTTGAAGCTTTGAACAGGAAAAAACACAATAAAGCTGAAAGAGAAATTTTATCAAACACTTACAACAAAGAGAGTAAACAGCAGCACCACAGGTTTAGGTCAAACAAAAATCAACATGAACCCAACCCTACTACGCATAATATCCATTAAGAAAACCAAATTTTGATTAACAGAGCAAAATACAATATTCAACTAAAAATAATCATAAAGAATACAAATAAGGTGGCAAAGAAGGTCTTACAGTGAGAAGGAGTTAACTTTGGGGCTTAAGCTACAAGTAGCTTTTTCTTACCAAAATGCCACCCAAAAACAGACGCAGAAATACCTAAATCACTCAGATAGTTTAACCAGAGAAGACAAATTAGAGTACAAAGTAATACCCTAATTTATACTGAAATCTCTCAAGCCTGCTCTAACCACTAACCTTCATGTCAAATAGATGCGCTTAGAGCACCACTAACCTTCATGTCAAATAGATGCGCTTAGAGGAAAAAATAGAAGTAAATCCCCTTTGTTACTGTAGGAGCCAAAAATCATCAAAATCCCAGGATCAGACACAAACCAAGAAGCAAAACCTAATATTTCAAGAAATAATAATGAACCTATTTAAACAAATAACTCAAACCTTCAGAAAACCCAAAACTTTAACGCAAAACTTCACCAAAACCAATAAAAACCCAACTAATTGGGAAATTGCAGCAACCTCTATTTTGAGCCCTAAATTCTTCCTTGAGATTCTAGTGGAAACTTGTGCAATTTGTGCCCCTCGAAGGGCATCCAATTGAAAAGAGTAAAACTTTGATTTAATGTCGTATTTCACTTATGATTAATATTTCACCTTTTAATTAGAATATTAAATCCTAGTATCTTATGAAACATGGAAGTCATCGTAGAAGAAGTAGAAAGAAGAATAATTACCACAGTTATTGAAGTTGAGATAAGAACAAATCTGAAGATGAATTATTCGCGGTGAGATACAAAGAAAATTGAACATGAAATAACCGAAGAAAGAGGATAAACAGAGGGAGACAGAGGAATTAATCGCTGGCACAGGGAGGGATTATATCTTACCACCTGTCAGAGTTACTCTATACGTGTTAGCTATTACTAAAACTTAGGAAAAGACTAANATACACACACAATTATCAATCTGCCAAGGCGAACAGCCCACTCCCATGAGAGTAGTGAAATAATTACCCCACCCGCGGAATATACTTGCAACGCGGTTAAGTATAAATACAACTTAAATGCTCCTTTAATTCCTTCCAAAATAATTATTTGCTTGAAATCCTTGAAATCATAACATTCTCAATGCGGTTTCAATCAATGCAATCCAACAATTTACGATCATATAACAATACCCCAAAAGCATGGTGTAAGCCTAGAACTACCCAGACATAGATGGAATAGTAGCCACGTAGGGACTCTCATCACTTTATGCGTAACC